GGCTTTTTCAGAGACAGAACCAATAATACGTGTGTGTGTGTGTGTGTATGTGTGTGTGTGTATACATTCTGCAGGGATGTCACAGTTTGAGTCTTATGGCTAGAAGCTGCTGTAGAGCCAGGAAGAACTGATCCCAGTTCTAGGCTGTCAGGTAGAAAAAGCTGATGTTCTGGTTTGAGGGCAATTGGGCAGAAGAATTCTCTTACTTAGGGGAGGATTAGCCTTGAGTGCTAGTCAGGCTTTCCACTGATTGGGTGAGGCCCGCCCACACTATGGAGGGCAATCTGCATTCTCAGTCTACTGACTCAGAAGTTAATCTCACCCCAAAACATCCTTAGAGACACTAAGAATAATGTTTGACTGAATTTTGGGGCACCCTGTGGTCCAGTCAAGTTGACCCATAAACCCCACCATCACAGGGAGTGAGAGAGGTGCATAATCACATCTCCATCCAGGATGACGAGCTGGGCCCAGTTTGGACATAAGTAGGTAGAGAATCAGATCCTGTACCAGGCAGAGCCAATGGATTCCAAAATGATGACACTTGAGATTTAGTTAAAGTTTTTCTTTTCTATGCCATATTTCCCATGTGTTATCTTCAAGACAATGTTATAGGTTGAATTGTGTTCCCTAAAGAAGATATGTTGAAGTCCTAACATGTTGTACCTCAGAATGTCACCTTATTTGGAGATAGGGTCTTTACAGAGGCAATCAAGTTAAGATGAGATCATTAGATGGGGCCCTAATCCAATATGATTGGTATCTTTATAAGAGGGGCAATGTGAACAGAGAGACATGCCTCAAGGGAAGACAATGCTAAAGACTCAGGAAGAATACAGCCACCTACAAGTCAAGGAGAAAGGCCTGGACCAGATCGTTTCCTGAGCTCTCAGGAAGAACAGCATTACTAACCTTCATGTCAGATTTCTAGTTTCCAGAACTTTGACACAATGCATGTTAGTTGTTGAAGCTACTCAGTTTGTGGTACTCTGTTATGGTAGCCCTAGGAAATTACTATACTTAGTAAAGTCTACTACACGTAATAGTCTGTGTTAACTATACTGGGAAGAATGAAGGAAGGAGTTGATGTACATCTAGAGATGAAGCTCCAGGGGTAGGGGGAGCAGCAGCTTGGGGGACAGGTCATGAGATATGGCAGAGGCAACTGGGGAAGAAGCCAGGAGTGGTAGGGAGTGAAGGGCCGAGTCTCAAATGAGCTATTGAAGATGATAGTACTTTGTACACAGAAAAATACTATAAATAAGGATGTATTTGTACTGTTAACAATCTCATCACCAAAAAAGCTTACTGACTACTTACTGGAAAAAGCACTGAGACAACTACTTCATAGTTATCATTCCTGTGTTTGATCATCTGAGAAGCATTAGTAGAGTTTATATTAACTTTTAAGATGTTAAAAATTAAAAGGCTTGTATTAACGTTGACGATGTTGAAAAGTAAAGGGTATATATTAACTTTGACACTGTTAAAAATTAAAGAGATAATCTCTGACTACATTTGTATCAACAACTGAGGTACAAATATCTTGGTAGGGGATGTATGGGAGCCACAGGGACTACAGCATCATATCTTGCAAATGCATCTCTTTGTCTGCTTGCTATCACATGACAGCACATTGCTTCCTGAGCTACCACTTCCACTGGAATGTTGCTCTATGTATAGATAAGGAGCAGCATAAGGCCATAAGAGTGGAAAAAGGAAGGCTGAATGGGAGGGAGGAAGAAAGGAAGGAAGGAAGGCCAAAGGAGGGAAGGAAGGAAGGAAGGGAGGGAGGGAGGGAGGGAGGGAGGGAGGGAGAGAAATAAAGCCTTTTCTCACTAGAGCCAAATTCCAATCCATTTGAAATAATCAGACTTAGTTTCAGACAATACTAGGTATTTCTAAAGTATATCTTTGGGATATATGACAAACATTACGTTAAATTAATATGGTATAAGCATGTTATTTAACAATTATCTGCAAAAATTAATCTTTCTTTAGTGTCCTCATTTCATGGATTACTTCTAAAATCTTTGAAGCAGCATCTAATTTCAGAAAATGGAATAAAGATTCCTTGGAGGTCTAAGAACCAGGTAGAAGGAAAAAAAATCCAATAATAGTATCTTGACATCTTTAATATAGAGTAATACTAATATAACAACAGCTAGCCATTTATTCTAAGGATTTCCAATTTAAAGGCTTGCTATGATTAATTTTCCTTGCCTGCCTCCTTATTAATTATAATTGTGTGCATGGCTCGAATTATTTTAAATACCAAATGATTGCCCACATATCTAAGTTTGGAATCTGTCTCTTTTAATAGACAGAAATTACTCTCCCCTAGAAGAGTAATACAGTAACAATGTCCAGACAGTCAAAATGGATGTTATTGTCCTTCTTCCTTATTGATGAATAACTACTGATGTTTCTAGACCCAGGTAGAGCCAGGAAAGTAAGTGATAAATGTATAACTGGCAATAGCTTTCCTGGGGCAGGGGGGCAGGGGGTACATTGGGTGTCCTTCCACTTTAAGAATCTGTTAGTATATGTGCAAGAAAAGTAGTTGCTGTGGTTTCCAAGGAAATTTGTGACAGATTTTTTTCCTGGCCTGAGATGGTCCAAATATATAGGACATACTATCTCTATGTCTCTAAATATTCTGCAGAAGAATCTGATAGCCCCTGTACTTGGTCAAGTCATTTTTGTAAAGTAGGTCCTCAGTGACATGAATAGCTGGGGCAATGACTTTGGAATTGTCTGAACTAGTTCTGATGTAAGAATGCCTCGTCCAGGAAAATCTTAGGACTTTTGGGGGTGTTTGTTTCTGGTTCCATTTCAAAACATGACAGTCGTAGGTAGACTTAATAAAAGTGGGCATGATTATGCAGCCCTGTTCCACATCATTAGTGGGAGTAAATACCTCTACCAGAATTCTGCCAACACTGTTTCTAGCCAGACATCCATTAGTAAACATTGAAGTCTTAAAATATTGGTCGGCTTCTGTGGCTGGCTTGTCTGCATAATGGAAACTAGGTCCAGATTTTTTAAAGTATTGACATGGGTAAGCATAGAAATGCTGTTTTGAAAGAGTTGTAGTTAGAAATTTGGGGCAGCAGAATAAAATTTTGGTAAAGGTCTGTTTAATTTCTTATTTTTTTAATTTAAAGTATTCTTAATTGATAACATAAAAATATTTCTTGTTTTGTGATAATGCCAATTAAGGAGGTAACTCCCTACTTCTAACTCTGCCTTGCTCAGTATTGTCACTTTGCTTTCTTCATAGAAATCAACATCTTTCCCCTAAGAAGTGACTGATGGTTACCACAGGGAGGGGTTGGCGTAGGTGGGTGGAGAGGTTGAGGGGAATAAAGAGAAACAAAAATCTCAATCATAGTATAAGCTGGTCCCAGAGATGGAAGTGCAGCATGGAGAATATAGCCAGTGGCTCTGTAATATCTATGTTGACAGATAGTAATTGTACTGGTTGGGATGAGGATTTAATAATGTGTGTAACTGTTGAACCACAGTGTTGTATAGTTGAAACCAATATAAAATTGTCTATCAACTATACTTCAATAAAAAAAAGAAAAAAGAAACATCTTTCTGCAACCTGAATAGTTGACTGTTCCAAGTGGGTATTTCTAACAAGTTGAAAAGATTTAGTTGCAAGGTACATTATAAATAATTGCAGTATTTTATACATTCTTAACAATAACAATCCTTTCAGTTAGTATACACACTTCAATTTTAAAAACATGTCACTCTTTTGATCCACCTATGACGTGGAAAGGAAGACAAAACTGCCATTTACAAGTGAGAAAAGAGAGATTAAGAACTTCATTAGGGTCACAAATAAACAAGGCTGCTTTCAAGATGAGCCTGAAGGTTCAGGATAGTATTTTCTTAATATTCTTTACTGAAGGCTGAGAAACTGACAGGCAGGTGTGAGGGTTCCAAACTCTGTAACGTGTACCCAAGTCCTTTGACCACATCTGGCTCTGGGCTCCCCACACCTGCAAGGACCTTATAGTGATAACTTGCCTAGAATGAAAGGTGTTTAACCTTAAAAGATTTACTTTCCATCTATAAGTAGTAAGAAACCACAGTCTTATCATAAAGCCAATGTTCTAAGTTTTTGAGACTATTTCACAAACCAGAAGTTCTTGACATAGTTACAAAAATAAACTGTATTGCCCTCCCAAATGAGGAACAACAAATAAACATGGGTGGTAAGTTGCAGAGATCAGCTTAGAATCAATGATGTACTTGGTAGGCATTTGTAAGCAATAAGATATTGACCTTGCTGAGTCTCCTTCCTTAGAAGAACCCTGTAAATGTCCACATGTTCTTTTTTACAGTCATGACAACAGCCTTACTGAGAAATCTCTAGACAGGAATTACCATCCCATTTTGCCTATGGAACAACACAGGGTTTGGAGATCAGTGAACTGATCTAAGGTCATATAGTGAGTCATCAGGAGAGACTAACCCCAGAGCAAATTTATTCTCTGATGACTTGATTGTCACAAATAAGTGACTTGCTCAAGGTAATCAAAGGAAAATATTTGGAGAATGAGGACATTTACGGCATGCTTATTAAATATGCAAGTGACAAAGACTGAATGGCTAGTCCTAGCTCTGCCCATAACTAGTTATGAGATTTGGACAAGTTACTTAACCAGACTGGGCCTCAATATTCCTCTTGGAGAAATGAAACAGCAGGAGTTTTTAAACGTTCTTCTTTTTTAATAAAAGTCTTAATGTTTTAAACAGTTATTCAAAGTACATAGTAATGTTATAAATTTAATTGATGAAAGCTGAGCTGTATACAATCCCACCTCCTTTTTGGCTCTCCCTACCACTTTCTGGATTCCCTGGACACAGTCTAAAAACCACAGTATTGGGTAATCTGAAAGCTCTTTCCTCTTCTAAAATTCCATGTGTTTTATGGCTGAGAGCAACCAGCTTTCTAATTTGCTACCTGTTCACATCCTCTACAGCATCCTGTGGTATGAAAGAGCTGCAGACTTGGGATCAGAGCTGCTGTCTGTGGATCCCTGCGCACCCAACCAATTATCTGTATCACCTTAAGCAAGTTGCTTCACCTCTCTAAGTTTCTGTTTCTCATCTATAAAATGAAGATAGTAACCTTTCTCAGGTAAGACTGCTTTGTAACTATAAAAGACTGAATAAATGCAGTGTCATTAGAAGTATCTTCTGTGCACAGTACCGTTCCATGGAGAGATGGCTTTATCCTCCGCATGATGTAGAGTACCAACATGGGTTAGCTGCTCTTTGGCAAGCTGTCTAGGAGCAGCGGTGGTGTCTGTTATAGTTGGGCTTCATCTCCTCTGTAAGCCAAAAGCCAAATCAGAAGAGAGGGCCTAAGTTACCAACATGGCAAATAATTAGGCACTATCATCAAGTTTAAAGAGAAGAATTATCCTCATAATCTGACCCTGATGGTAATGACCCTGCTATGTACCCCTCCACACAAGGCCATGATCCAGTGATAATTACTGTCATTTACTGAGTGCTTCATATGAGCTGCACATTGTTTTTACATGAGTTATCTCATTGAATCTTCACATGAACCCTCTGTAATGGTGTTACTCCTATTTTATAATGGGAATAACTGATAAAATGGAGGATTATTCCAACCTTTCTTAGAAAAGCTAAGTAATTTGCTCAGATTCTTACTTTTGGCCAGTGGCAGAGCCTGAACTCTGAATTCGAAACTCTGAACTGCTCACCTCTGCCTCTCCCCGTTGGAGGAAATGATTCTCCTCACTCAGCATGAGGGCCAAAAGCCTCCATTCCTCTTTATCTTCACAGTGCCTTAGTCAGCTCCATCCCTTCATTTTTATTATTATTATTTTTAAATTTCTTCCCCCATTCTGAAGTGCTTCATTCATCTTCATAAAACTCAGAGGTAGAAAGCACCCATTAGTCATTGATGTCCCCCTTAATCCTGCTTGTCCTCTAGAGCATGTGCTCAGCCTGGGAGCTGGGGAACAGAGCCACATCTCTTCCCTGGGGAGTTAGTCCTGTAACTAATTCATCTCTTCCAGGAAGAGTTTCCTCTTGGGCTTGTCCTCCTCTTCAGTTTTGCATTTGCTCAGTTCTTTCTCTCTGTGGGCGCACGCTTTAGCTCTTCAGATCACATTGCCTGGGTCTGCCAGGCTCTCAGCAGTGAGCGTGCTGAGTTTGCCTTTTCCCCTCACACTATGGCTAGAGGAGCCTTCTGATTAGCACTTGGAATATGCTTTCCCCCTGCGGACAGGTGTAAGGTGAGCTGCTGGGGGATGCGGGGAAGGCAAGTGAGAAGAGTAAAGAGCACGAGGCTTGGGATCTGCTTAGTCAGCAAACCGCGGATCAGTTCGGCTTGGACATCTCTGCGGTGCCCCTCCACTGGCATTAGAGGCATTGACATCCAGCTGGTTAGGGTTCCATTAGGATGCTGTGCCAGCCCTAAGCTCAGTACCAGGAATGACAGAAACAAATCGAGTGCATCATCACGAGGAAGACAGGGTGGTGCAGTGGAAAACACATCAGCTTTGAGAGCTGGGTAATCTAGTTTGTCATTGCTCCACTCGTCACATGGCTAGGTGGCTTTGGCATTTAACACCCTGAGCTTCAGCTTACTCATTTGTAAAAAGGGGAAAAAAATACCTATCTAATAGTTTCTACAAGACTGGCCTGGCACACAGAGGCACTCAATGAGAGCTCTCATTTTTCAAAGCCCTAATTCTAAATAACTTGCCATAACTACTTCCTCATAACTTTATATCCTATTTCAAGTATCTAGGCAACTGTCCTTACTGCTTATTTGTCAATTTTCACTGTGCTGCAAACCAGCATTCTTGTATGCTGGTTTCCCCTCCAGCATCAGCAATTTCACATAGTTCACCCCTACCTAGAAAGCAGAACTCAGATATTCCCTATCAGACTGATGTTGTTACTTTATAATTTCCGCTTTGATGTAAACCTCACCATTGTCCTGCTGAAATGGATGTAGATAGTAATCTATTTGCCATCTTTGTTACAAGCTCAATATGTTGACAATTTCTCATTTGTATCAAGGAACCATTCTATGTATGTATTGGCAATAATATCTTAATATTGCAAACAGAAACCCAAAACAAAATATTTCATTAAAACATTCTTTTTGAATGAATGTGACCATTCTTAGCTAGCAGGAAACTACCTTTCTCTTAGGTGACTGAAATCCACTCATTTAACTGCAATGTGCAGTTTTTGGCTTGGACATCACTTAAGTAAAGAAAATTAATTTGAGATAATGATGATGTAATGAAAAAAACAAAACAAAATGATATAATAGTGACTAGAGAGGCTATTTTATTTGTTTACCTATCTACTTATTGTTACCTTAATTTAAAAAATCAAAGTAATAAATGTACATAGTTTTTAAAAAATCAGATTTCCCCCTAATCTAATGAATATGGAAAGAAGAAGTGGGAAGGTTTTTCTGAGGAGCTGATAATTGAGAGCAATTGTTGTGACCTGAATTATGAGAAGACAGCTATAAAAAGATCTGGGGAAAAGCATATCAGACAGAGGGAACAGCAGTCTCAAGGTGCTGAGTGCAAAGGAGAGTGATGTACAGGTTCACAGGACAGAAGAAAAAGGCAAGGTGGTTGGGGTGAATTGAACAAATGGTAAGAGGTAGGAGATGAGATTGTAGAGACGGGCAGAAGCCAGGTCATATAAGATCTTACAGGATATACTAAAACTATAGGCTGTGATCTAGTTACAGTGGGATGCCATGAATGGGGTTAGATTAAGTAAGAAAGAGATATGGACGGATTTATGTTTCTAAAAGGTGATTCTATCTTCTGGCTACAACAGGGAGCATAGAGGAGCAACAGTGAAAACGGGAGGGTTTTATTGTAATCTGGATGAATGATGATGGTGGCTTGAAGCAGGAAAATAAAAGTAATGATGGTGAAATTCGGGATTTATTTCAGATGAATTTATTCAGAATTTCCAGAATCCATTGTTGAGTTGGATTTGGGGAGTGAAGTAAATTAGAAAAAAGAATGAGTCCTTGTTTGGACCTGGAACTCTTGAGCATATATGGTGGTGCCATTTACTGACACAGGAAAGATGGGAGGTAGAACACGTGTGAGAGATTTGATTGGATATGTTAAGTATGATAGACATATGAGCCAATCATATGGAGATGTCTAAAAGGCCAGCTTTCTTGGCTCTCATGGGATGCTTCCACCTCCCTTCTTGCAATGCATAATGAACTGGTTGGCTAGATTGCAGATCTGCGAGAGAAAGAAGACACGCAGGCCAGTCTCAGATGCTTTTGTAATCAGTTTGCAGTTTTTCCTGAGATGATTCAGTGGCTCTGGGGACCATGGTGGGTATTCCCTGGATACCTATTTACATTCTAAGATATGCCTGAATAGCTGTGGCTGATAAAAGAAGTAGTTTCCCAGAACAGAGTTACATTTGGCCAAAATATATTTCCAACTACATTTTCCACTTGGCATGTAGAGAGATTATAGCATGGCATGAAGAAATAACACAACCCAGTTGGAAAATGTTTCTTAGACATAGACATACTTAAGAGAAAGGGTTTTATTTTTCTTTCCCCTTCAGAGGATCTCAAAGAATAATGGCTTTAGCCCCTGATCTCAGGCATGCAAGGCACTGAGGAAGCAAACACCTAGAAGAATCACGCCACTTTTTGAGTTTTCTGCCTTTGAGAACTGGGCTTTTCCTTCAACTTTCTTAACTTTATACATTCTGGTCTTCAAAACCTATTTTCAGCAAAAAGTGAAGTGTAAATGAAATAAGTTCAATATAGACAAAACATTAAAATGAGTTATAATCACTAGGCTGCTTCCTCATATGCAAATTTCACTTTGAAAGTAAAAAGATCACCCTATACCAGTGCCCTCTGCCCTAGTGTTTTAAACATCACCCGGGAGATATTATTTTGCTCTTCTAACATGAAGTTCTCAGTTTAATTTCTGGCCTGTCCCATCTACATAAAAAGGATTGGAATTAACATGGTTCTGATGTTGCTTTATAGCCAGGCCATTTCAGCCTACCAGACATGTTTATAATGTCCTTCTCATCATACAAACTCAGTGGTTGATGGGTTTGCCACCTTTTTGGAAGCTCCCATGAGCTGAGTTCATTACTAAACTGTGGTCTTCCCTAAATTATAATTCCCACAACCCCTGCCACTCCATCCCCACACACTGGTCGATTTCCAAGACCACCTCTCCTAACTATAAAACAAAAATAGTATGACACATTGATACAAAGAAACCAAGAAGTAGAATTTTTTGAAAGGCAAACAGGCAGCCATATCCTACAAGGAAGCTGAGAAACAGTCACCACTGTCTACACTCAGCCCAATACCACAAACTAAAAGGAGGGAGGGCAGTGATTTCAATAACAACTTGCTGACATATTCCACTCTTTCTTGCCATGGGTTGTCTGTCCCATTTCTGCACCAGAGGCCTGAAGGTTTTGTTTGCTGGGCCTTCCAAGGTAACATTAGACCTTGTGTTCTGCACAAAAACTAGCTCAACTCAGCTTGTGTTCTCTGAAAAAGTCAGCTCAACTCAGGCCAATTATTTCTTGCATTTGTACAAGATAACCTGATTCTTATAACTAGGCTTGCTTATCAAGAAACTTTGGGGACTCTCCCTTCTCAGCATCATAAATACAGAACAAAAGTTGGGGGTACAGACTGTGCATTACTTTTGTCTTAGTTCCTTCAGTTAAAATTAGGAGTTGTTCCCACCAGAAAAGAATGTTCTCCTCATAGCTTAAATTGCCAACTTTATACAAATAAAACAGCAGATCCCCTCATGTATTGCAACCTATTTAATCTTTCCACTACTTCCTCAACTAAAGGGGGCTCTATACTTCCTAACAAATAACATCTCCCTCAACACTAATATTGAAATCGACTTTAATCCTCTACCTGTTTTACGACCACCGTCTGCCTTTGGTCTTCCCCTGGAACTTCTCCATAATTCTTTTTTTTAATAATTTTACTTTTCAACTGGAGAATTTTAAGGTGGACTTAACTTGTCACTTACTATGTATATTCAATAATCTCTTAAAAGGCTGAAGTGCATTTACTGGAATTCTGTTTCCTTCTTTTCCTTCTCTGTCTTTTTTTCTCTTCTAGTTGCAAGATCTGGCAAAATGCCGAAGGAAATACAGCCTGATTGGGCATAGTCTGTGGATCCGAGTAGTCCTAGCTTTGTGATCTTGGTCTAGTTACTCAACTTTTCTTTAACTTTTCTGTTGGTATGGTTATTCCACCTTTCAGAGTTTGATTCCTCTCTATCTTATGGAATGTTGTGCGGATCAAAAGAAATGTAGAAAGCCTTGAGCCCAGTACCTGACAGATTGATTATACAAGTAAAGTTTGTATGGTCCAAGTTCCTATGGGGTCTGGGAGTTCACAGAACTAGTTCACAGAAACTACTATTTTATCATATTGATTAAAAATATAATTTCTCTGGTCTCATCCCAGACTTGATGAATCAGAAATTCCAAGCCTTAGGGGCTAAGGAATTACATTTTTAGCAAAGATTTCTTATGATTCATGTGATCAGAGAAGTTATGGAAACACTGATAAAGACTACCAGTGTTTGTTATGTTCCTTAATTACAAGAAAAATTTGAAGTAAAAGAACATTATCTTAATAATTTGTTTTTTTAATGTGTGGAGTTTCATTATGCTCTTAGTTAAATTACACAGTTGAGTATTTTAACTGAAATTTACACCAAATATTTAAACTTTTAGTCCATCTGTCTTTTTCTCTGTAGGTTCCATAAAACAGTGGAACTTTATCCTCTTCAGTGACTAAAAATGATACTGCTTTTGGGTTTAACTTATTTAGTACCAGCAGAACAAGAGCCAAGAATATTGTAAAGCACTCTGGTAATGCACAGCACTACATAAATGTTTATTATAATAATTATTAACTGTTATAATTATAATAATAATGGTCTACACCTACAAGACATGACTTGTGAGTTAACCAGCTAGCTGCATTTTAATATGCTTTTAGCAAATCTTTCTAAGCTTCTTCATAGAGACAAAGCTTGAAATATCATGCATAAAAACAGCACAAATGTCTCTTCTTTCATGAACCCAAACCACTTTTTATTCTTTTCTTTTTTTAAATCAGCCTCTAGCTGAATGCAAATTTCAGATATGTTCATAATGTGTTTAGATACCTTTGTATTTTTAAGTATTTGGCATCTAGATATACATTTAATACTTCATTCAAGGTGACACTGTGGATGGTGATTATTCTGTCCTGTGTTCTATGACAGGGACCCAGAGGAGTGAGAAAACGAGGAAAGGGTGGGAGAAGAGTTGAATACATCAATGTAACAGCAGCAGCTTTTTCCGAATGAATGACTACCCAACAAAGATCATTTCGTGAGCTTCTACTAGCAGCCAGCAACAATCCGGATTCCTGAACATAACTATTACCTGCTCTGTTGGTTCACTGTTTTCAGTTTTGCCTTTGAGTCCTTGATCAGCTAGAGGCATGGCAATTGTTGGTAACTGGTAGACACTTTTCTGTTAAAAAGAGCCAGGCTGTCTTGGTTACTCTGGGCCATGGCTACCACACATTGATTGATATTCTATTTCAAAACTGCCTGTAAGTCTTCTATTTTATTTCTATGCCTATCTTACATCAATACAACACAAAAAGTGCTGATGACTTATTTTGCTGTCATCCACTGGAGTTAGTTTAAAATAAACACACTTTAGGGCTGTTAAACTAGACATTAGACACTATCTAGAATTAGATTATGCCATCACATATTTGTTTTTAAGTGACTTTCACATGATTCTTTAGTTGTTTCCTGTTAAATTATCATTTTTCTTTAGCTATTACCTGTCTACATTTTTTTCCTATAACATAATGCCTAGGATAAAACTATACATGTTTCACAAATGCCTAGGGTGCCTAACTGGTTTTCTTGGCTTCACTGGAGATGGCTGGTAATTATAGATCTGCTTTGGTTATGTAACTGTATTCCTATTATGTTAATGTGTGTGCACAATTTAGTTAGTAGTTTAAAACCTATACATGCTTAAGTTACTCTACAAGAAGATATGTCAAAGAAATAATCAATCCTCCCATGTTTTC